AAAGGATTCTCCCTGAGAGTAGATGACTAGCATGTACAGAAAAATAAACAAGAAGTTCAAAGATGAACAGGCCAAAAAATTGAGACCTCAGCTAATTTTTTGAGACAGGGTCTTCATAAATCTCTACACTGCCCAGGTTAAGCTCACACTTGCAGTTGTCCTGCTTCAGCCTCTGGGGTGCTGGGATTAAAAGCATGTACCATATACCATCATGTCCTGATCCTGGCATTCTTTAGTTGTGGCCACATCACACCAATGTCTGCCTGTGATCGCAGTGCCTTCTCTGTGTGTCTTCTCCTTTTTGGTCTGGATCTCATCTTGCTCTACTTCATTCTTAAAATAACACTTGCAACTATGGTGACCCACCTGAGTGACCCAGGGGAACCTCCCCATTTTAAGATTCTTAACTGAATTAAGGTATTTTCATAATCTTGGAACATTTTCAAGTCTCAAGTATTAGGGCATCTTTGAGTTCCCATTGTTCTGCCTACCACAGAGAAAGAAGAGAGTGTGAAAATATTCCAAGGAAGAAGACAAGTGACTACTAAGGTGTGTGATACAGCTGTATAGTTCTTCCCCAAGAGAGCTGACGAGATTGTATGAGGGGCCTAAAACTACAAAGGGTCACTGTTTTCACTGCTACTAAATCTTTGGAAAGAAAGTTGATTGACACTTGCACCCAAACAGCTAAGACTATCTTCTTCGGTTTGGTTGATTATGTAATCCAGGGCCAGGTTTTTTCACTGCCTATATCTTCCTTGTTTAGTGAGCATAGGAATATTATGAAGGAGGCTATTTAATGTGCTGAAATTTGCTGCTGTCTGCAGGAAAGGAGGATACTGCCTTGGAGAAATTCCATGCTATTCTCAAGTGAGAGAGTCAATCTTGATTCTTTACCCTTTGCTCTCTTTTCATTGAAGATGGAGAGAAATCACTTTCTTAGCCTTCCTTGCAGTTAGTGTGATGTTATAAAGTGATGTGTTCAAAGAAGCTTAAGGAGAAGCTTGATGAGAGTACTTTTGGTTCAGCTTTTATTTTTTTAAGGGACAGATATAGTTGATGCCCCTCTCCCCATGCATAAACTTGCTCCTGCCCTAACTGAGGTTGCTATTGTATATGCTGGAGCTGTCTGACCTATTTGCATAAGAATCATAAGCCACACACTGAGCATGAGGAATCATCTGGATGAAAGACTATTGAGTCTTTAATGATCCTATTTTGAAGCTGAACTAGTAATGTAAGCAACTGCTTAACTCTAAATATTTCCTGTTTATTTTTTGTTTGTTTTTCTTTCTGGTACCCAGAATCAACTCAGGATCTGGCGCTTCTGAGGCAAGTGCTGTTGTTGCTGACCTAAAACCCAGCCCAATATTTCCTGTTTAAAAAGAAAGGACACCTTTTAGAAAAATGATTCTTACTTGGAAACATGCATTTCCATCTTATGCAGATGGATTCTGTATTTACTCTACAGATACTGTGCTTGCAAGACAGAAGCTGATATTCTTCAGATACCTTTCCTAGGCTAGGGGAGCAATGTAGGAACAAGATGAGGTTCACCTTGTTTTGTCAGTGCCGGATACTTAAACAGAGGGCTGAGGCAGCTCATCTCCCATCTTATTGGTCTCTTTTTGCTTCCTCTGCTTTAATTCCCCTTGGTACTATTTCTCCAATTATACAGCTTCTTCTCTCAGGTTTACCTGCACTGCACCTTGGGTTGAGTGTGTGCTACAAAGCTCATGTGTTGGAAACTTAAAGCCCAATGTAAGTGTTTGGAGGAGAGAGCTAATGGGAGGTGCTTAGTTCATGAGGGCTCTCACCTCACAAATGGATTGGTGCTTTTATTGTAGGAGTGGGTTGATTATGATAGCAGTTGAGATCCCTTCTACTCTTGTGTTTACTCTTACCCTTCCTCCTCGGATGACACAGGAAGAGATCTTTCACCAGATGCCAGCCCCTTGATCTTGGTCTGCTCTGCCTCGAGAATACTAAGAAGTAAATTTTTGTTGTATGTGAATCAGCCAACCTGACGTATTCTCCTATAACTGCACAAAGCAGAATGAGAAATCCTTTCACTGCCCTTCCTCTGCCACAAAAGTGTCTGGAAAGGGCTGTGCCCACTCAGCATGGACTCTCCTACATGTGATTGAATTAGGTCAGTTTGTGAGAGAGGTGTGAAAAATAAGTAAGCTGTTTAATTCTTGACCAGCATATTGAATTCCTCTCAGCTTTCCTCACATATGTGACATAGGTCCCAAAATATTTAGGGTAATAACAGCAGTTGCTTTAGGAATTGCTCAACTAATATGTTTAAGCTTTTTTGGTGCTTTGCTGTGATTTGATGTACACTGGGTCCCAAGTCCATTTAGACTGTAACTGTGAACTGGGTAAAATCTGATTGCTAGGGGCTGGGGATGTGACTCAGTGGTAGAGCTACTGATTTGCATGCACAAAGACCTGGGTTTGATCCCCAGCACCACAAGAAATCTAATTGCTAAATAAAATCTTGTCAGGTAGAGTATGAAGAAAAGCACAACACAAATAGTTCACTAATTTATAGCCTTTATTTCTCCAAGATAATTTAGTTTAAGAAGCTTCTTTCTGCATGGTTAAACTTCAAACACTTGGTCATAGATTCTTCCAGCAAAAAATTTGCCTCAAGCATATCCCAGAGTCCTCCATTTTCTCAGTACATTATTCCGTGGCTCACCAACCTACTCAGAAATCGCAGTTACATAGGATTGCTCTCTTTATCCTACTCATTTTGATTACTTTGTTTGTTTATCAGTACTGCATGACTCCTTGTAGATTTTGTTCTATTTCCCTTGTGCCTCAAGGTTTTCAAACAGCTGTTGTGATACTAAAAATAATGCAGTGAGGTCTTCAAGTAGGAACTTCTCCCACTTATTTTAAATTCTATATTTTACAAGTTTCAAAAAATAAATTTTGTAGGGCTCTCCATTTTTTGAATTTTATGAACCAGGTTCTTGTTCTGTTTGAGATCATAATATTTTGTAAATTCTATATCAGGAATAGGAAAACATCTGCCATGGATTCTTGCAATTTGTGTTTAGATGGACAAGAGAATGAAAGCTTATGTGTGTTTTGTATCACTGTCTTCTGTAACAGATAAATTACTGTGTACCATTTGTACCCTTCTGGACTAATTTGGAGCATACTGGGAACCCTTAGTAGTTGTCCTGCTTTTATTCATTTTTCTGTCTGAATACCAGAATTCCTAACATACACTAGGTAGGCATTCAGTCAATGCTTGTTGGTTGAATGAATGAGAACATCAGACAAAGTTTTGGAATCTTTGGTTTTCATTACTAAAATTCTCCATTTGTGACTCGCTCATTAGGCAGGCACTTAGAAGACCTGATTCACAATTCCATGTGTACTGCTTACTATATTTTTAAATGTTTTATTATTTTTACATGTGTGAATTATTAATGGGTTAAGTGTGATATATCAACACATGTATACTATGGCTGCAATAATGAGAGATTCATAATACCTCAAAGGCTGAAAGGGTTGAAAGAAATAATAAATAACTTCAAATATTCAAGTGTTTTATAACCTAGCACAGAATTAGAACCTGGACAGTCCATACAAGAAATACAGCTGTGTTCCTGGTTTTGGGAAGATGATAATCTGGTTGGGCCTGACAAAACTTAGTGTTATAAATATAAAAGGAGATGGTATGAAATATGTGGGATAAATCTTGATTCATTTGAAAAATCAGACAGTACAAATATTATGTTGACAAAGGGATTGGTCAAGGACATAAAGGAGCATGTTTGTGGAGCATTATAGTGGGACTTAACCCATCTTCCAAAGCAATGTTCTGCAAATTTGGCAGAACGTTAGAATAAGTAGGGAACTTTATAAATAACATTGCACAGGCCGCATCCCAAACCAGTGATAACAGACTCTATGGGTGTGAGAAGCGGCCATCAATACTTTTTACAATCTTTCCAATTAATCACAATGAAAGCTAGGTTTAAGAATAAATATTCCAAAGCCATGCTTCTCAAACTCTAATCACCTGGACATTTTTTGAAATGTGAATATGTGAGATTAAAAAGCAGATTCTGATCTGATATGATCTGAAATATGTCTGAAATGGGGCCTGAGATTTTACATACCTAACAAGCTCCCAGGTAACTAATTAATGCTGCCAGCAAAAGAGCTACAGTTCTGAACAGCAGATTTCTGAAGGATATGTACATAGGTCACATATCAAGTAGTGTGATGAGCACTGTGTACCAAGCACTATGCTGAGAGCTATTCTTCTATCATCTCATTTACTCTTAAAAACAAACATATAAGGCTATTATTAGTCCCATTTTAGAAATAAAGAGACAGGTTAAGCAGAGAAATCATTGCTAATGTTGGACAGTACTTTCAAGATTGAGCATAGACTCAGACATATCTGAAATCAAAAGCCATAGGTCAATGGAAATTGCTAGAAACTCTCAAATGCTAAGTAGAAGGGTTTAGATCTGAGGAGGTAGGCATGATCTTTACAGGCATAATTTTCATCAGATCACTGCAAGGAAAGTACCCATTGCACTGTTGTGTCATGTACCATACCACGCAGATAAAGAACATGGTACCAGGCATGCTCAGAGATGGTGAAGCTTTTAGAGCTTTCAGTGATACAGACAGCCCACTGTGGCACACATGGCACAGGTCTGCCACCAGTGCTACACTGAGGCCGTTCTCCAGCACAACAAGGTCAAAGATGCCTTAGATAATGTAGAGTGTGAATAAGTATTGAGAGAAAAACACTGCTAGTGGAGGATGTCAAAAGCAAAACACCAATGTATCTTTCAACTGCCAATACCAAAAGATAGTTGATTCTGGAGGTAGAAATTGTATTTCTAGAAAGTATTTGGCTCTGGTTCCTTGTTTCAGATATTCTTCTAAATGAAAGTAAGTCAGATAGAGCCCCACTTCTCTGTGGTTTTTAACTTGAGTTTGTTTTTGTCTCTTTCCAGAAAGCTGAAAAATGAACTGTTAGAAGCAAAACGTAAAAGTGGGAAGACCCAGCAGGAGACCAGCCGAGTCTGTGTTCACTGCCAGAGAGAACTGGGCCTAATCTTTGACCGAGGAGACCCGTGCCCCGCCTGCTCACTGAGGGTGTGCAGTGAGTGTCGGGTCGTGAGCCCGGATGGCACCTGGAAGTGCGTTGTGTGTGCCAAAGTCGCGTGAGTTTTTGGCCCTCTTGTGGAGATTTGATGGGTGAAGGGATTCATGTAGGGAAAAGAAAAACATAGCATTTTTAATTTAGGGAAAAAGAGTACAGTTGAAGTACAACCCAACCACAGGTTCAGCAATGCCTTAGCAGGTGTCTGAGGTGTGCTTGTGCATATGTGAATCCGTGTGCATGTGTGCATGTGTGTGTGTGTGAGAGAGAGACAGGGTGAGAGAGAGACAGAGAGAGACAGACAGAGAACAATTGTTTCAAAGGAGAAAACAGTCTCAGTCCACATGGCTTCACTGAAAGCACAGACAATTCCCCTGAGATTTTCTCTTACACTTCAGAGTGACTGGCAAGATGACTGTCAAATGCTCAGCCTGTTCGTCACATCACTTCAAACACAGCTGAAGTACTTCCTCAATTTCTTCTCTTCAAACCCACCTTTCCCTGAGAAAGGGCACATGGAGAGAACCTTCCCACTTGCCACTGCGTTTAGGCTGTGGGTGTGCAAGGGGCAGGGATTTCAGTCTGCTAACTTGAGTGTAAGTGAAAACCATTCTTTTCCAATATAACCTAGGGTCTAATCCTGATGTAGCCTTTGTTGCTGCTGGGGCCTACCAAACTCCAGTCCTCTGGAGCAATCTCCTGTGAATCAACTGATATATTTCTCTTCCCAATGTCTCTGTCCACCATTCAGGAAGGGGCCTCATAATATGATTCCAAGGCAACTCAGTGTTGAGCTGTCTTTGCTTTGGTTGAGGTAGGAAATGTTGGCATTACTACAGCTTGTTTAATTTCGTTTAGCTCAGTTTGTCTTTTCCCTTAACTAACTTATCCTGTCACAGGCATTAAGAGGCCATCTTGGGAAGAAAAGTGAGTAAGCAGTGTGGTAATAGCCGTGACCTTCAATTGCCAACTTCTTTGAATAAGGAGTATTGTTCTGTTGAAGACTTGTATTTTCAGTAGCCTACATTATTTAGGAGGTAACTCTGAATATAACATTTCTCACTATTTTTCTACACTGAATTGAAATAAGCAGTTCTAAAGAAATGAGACACTTAATTTCTTTCATTGCTTACTTTGAATATAGTATTTTGATTTACTTAAGTGATCATTTTCAATTCTTTATTCCACATAAAAAGATGTATGTTAGTACTTTCTTCCCTTCAGTGGCCAATATCCTCTACCAGATCTGGAAGAAAGAACACCAGCTACATCTCTGGTACGTGCACTTCACAACAACCTTTGACTGATTTAAAGCCTCCGTTACACATTTGGTGCACATCTGGTGCTAGCTCCCTGTGTTGCAGAGATCTTCTCCCACCTGCTGACCTGGCTTCTCTCTTTCTTAGTGGTGCTTTTATGAGAAGCAGCCTCTAATAGTAATTGTTTAATTTGTTCATCTTTCCCACATGACTAGTGAGACATTGTCAGGATCCTATGAAAGAAAATATTCCTTAGCCTGCAAATCATGGAAGTATTCTCCTATATGATCTTCAGTAATTGTTATTTTACTGCTAGACTTATAATCTACCTGCAAGTGAAAGTGACACCAGTATTTTAAACTCATGATGACTGAGAGTTTTCTACTTATCCTTTTAGTTCTGACTGTATTTGCTGTACATTTCAGATCTACCGCTTTGCTGCATTTCATTGCTCCATATTCTTTGCTACATTCCTGTGCCTCCAGTAGGTGTAATTCTTTCTGCATTCAAGGCGTCCCTTAGTGATGAGTGCCTTCAGTGGTTTTATTTAGTATGGCTTCATTTCATTCTTAATTTTCAGACATATTATCAATGGTTATTGCTTTAGTTTTAATTTAAATTAAATTTATTTTAGATGGTACATATAAACCTAACAATTGTACACATTAATAGGGTATCATGTAATATTTTGATACATATATATGAGGTAATGCTTAAATCTGTGTAATCATATCCATCTCCTCAAACAATTATCAGTTCTTTGTAATGAAATCATTCAACATACTTTCTTGTAACCTTTTGAAAACTAAAATAAATTGTTGTTTTCTAGATTCACTTTAATGTGCAGTAGCATCTCAGAACATCTGAGTTTCTTGTTCCCGTCAAGTTATAGCTTAGTGCCCACTGATCAATCTGTCCCACCATCACTCTCTACTACTCTTTCCAGCTTCTAGAAACTCTCAACTTTTCTAGACTCCAGTTATGAGTGAAATCATGTGGTAATTGCCTTTCTGCCTGGATTTTTTCACATCATAATCTCTAATTACATCCATGTTGTCACAAATGACAGGCTGTGACTCTTTTTATGGCTCAGTGGTATTCCAAGTTTCTATGTACTGCACTTTTCTCATGCACTCACCAGTCCATGAGTACTCTTGTTTCTGTTTCTTGGGTATTGTATATACTGCACCTTGGGAATGCAAAGACCTCTGCCACACAATTATTTCCTTTCTTTGGAGTATTTGCCCACTGGTGAGATAACTGGATCATATAATACCTCTGGTTTCTTTCTTTTCTTTTCTTTTCTTTTTTTTTTTTTTTTTTTTTTTTTTAAACCTGCACACCTTTTTCCCCAATAGCCACCGGTTATTGAATCTGGGGATTAAAGTTACTAACTTTCAGTCAGTTAAAGATTCCATTGGCTTCTCTTAGAGAAACTAGCTATTAGGATACTCTTGCCCCTTTGAAAGTAATATTTTTCTTGACTGTATTTTTTATTTTAAAGAGAATAAAACAAAATTTCAAAACAAGATGATAGGAGGGAAATTAGTTACTCAGTGTACAAGACATCAGCATTTAATTGTCCAAACGATATTAGCACAAACTCTTCTCCCCAATGAAACAAAGGAAATTAGTAGTATAACTACCCCAACTAATATATATATATATATATGTAAATTTTTTACTTTCACCTTCCTTCTTTTTTCCATTCCTCCATCCATGTTTCTCTTTCCTTTTGAAGTTTCCTCCCATTTTACAATATCTATTGTGCATTTTGGATCTTATTTACTCTTTCAGCTTCTTACACTAGGAAGACAATGCAATGTTTACACACATGTATCTGGTTTATTTCACTTATGATTATGCTCTTCAGTTGCATCAATTTACTTATAAAAGTCTCCAGTTTACCCTTCTTTATGGCTCAGTGATACTGCTTATATAAAAAGACCACATCTTTTTTTATCCATTCCTCAGTTAATGGGTTTTGGGTTGTTTCCAAGGCCCAGCTATTACAAATTGTGCTGCTATAATCAGGGCTGCACATATATCACTGTGGTATGATGCTTTTAATTCATCTGGGAAGATACCTAGCAGGGGAATAGCTGGATCAAATGAGATCTCCAATCCTAGTTTTTTAAGGAGTCTCCACTCTTATTTCCATAGTGGTTGCACCATCTACACTTGCACCAACAGTGCAGAAGGCTTCTTTCTCTTCACAGGCACTCAAGCATTTTTTATAGGTTGATTTCTTGATAACAGCCATTCTTTCCGGGGTGAGAAGGAATCTCAGTGTTATTTTAATTTGCGTCTCTCAAATGATCAGTGATGTTCAACATTTTTTCATATATTTATTTGCTCTTTGCACTTCTTGGTCTGAGCAGCATGTATTCATCTCCAATGCCTATTTTTGGATTGGGTCTTTGAATTTGGGAGGTCTGATTTTTTTTAGTTCTTTATACATTGTCAACATTAATCCTTTGTCTGATGAAAAGCTGGTAAACATTTTTCCCATATTATGGGTTGTATCTTCACTCTACTGATAGTTTCTCTTGCTATGCTTTTTAATAAGAAGAGATTGCAGTTGTTGATTCTTTGTGATCGAGGATTTATTCATAAAGTCTTTGCCTACACCAAGTTCTTCAAGAGTTCTACATATTCTATCGTCCAGCAGATTTAATATTCCTGTTTTAATATTTAGATCTTTGATCTATTTCAAATTTATTTTAGTGCATGATGAAAGATATGGGTCCCGTTTTTATCTTCAGCATGTGTGAGCCAGTATTTGCAGCACCATTAATTAAAGAGGCTATCATACTTCCAGTGAATGTGTTTGGCACCTTTTCAAAAATAAGATGGCTGAGTATATTTGGTGCTGTATCTGCATATTGTAGTCTGATTCACTGATCTTTGGATTTTTTTTGTCGGCATCATGCTGTTTCTATCACTATAGTTTTATAGTATAATTTCAAGTCAGGGATTGTGATGCCCCATGCCTTGTCTTTGTTGCTCAGAAATGCCTTTTCTATTCTGGGTCTCTTCTGGTTCCAAATGAATTTTAGGTTTGTTTTCTCTAATTCTGTGAGAAATGCTATGGGAATTTTGATGGTAATTGCATTAAATTTGTATACCAGTTTTGGAAGTATGGCCATTTTCACTATATTGGTTCTTTCTACCCAAGAGCAAGGGATATCTTTCCATTTTCTAATATCTACTTCAATCTTTTTCAGAATATTGTAGCTTTCAGTGTAAAGTTCTTTTACACCCTTTGTTAGATTCATTCCTAAGTATTTCATTTTTTGAATGTTATTGTGAAAGGTGTTATTTCCCTAATTTCTCTCTCAGTGAATTTGTTATTCACTGAGAATGAATGTGCAGGAAGGCTATTGATTTTTGAGTGTTGATTTTGTATCCAACTACCCTACTGAGTTTGTGTCTTGGTTACTTTTCCCTGGTTGCTGAAACAAAATATCTGACACCCCAAATTAAGGAAGGATAGGTTTATTTAGCTCCCAGTTTGTGGAGATTTCAGTCCATACTCAGCTGGCTCCGAGGCAGGATGGCACATGGCAGAGGGCAACCCTTCATCTCAGCAGAAGATAGTAAAACCAACAAAAGCAAAATGGAGGAGAGGCAGCTGGAAAAGCAAGCCTCTTTCTCTCCCTTACACTGTATGCAAACTATCCACCCCAGGGCAACTGTAGCACTCACATCCATAATTACAACATTGGAATCAATCATACCTTTAGAAGCCTGCCCCATGACTGCATGAGGCTTTAGGGGGGACATTCAGACACAAACCATA